AGAGGAAGGGTTAGAGCAGTTTGGTGATGTAATAACCATGGAGGAGGCTCCCTTTGGGGAAGAAGTAAAAGCCATGTGGGAACCTGGGAACCAACAAGGGCACAACCTGCGATTTACCTCCCTGAGCAGCTGAGAGGCCGGAGGTTCGGGGACGAGGATATAGTCTGGCGCAAGTTGGGACACCTCGTTAAAAAAAAAAAAAATACTACTAGGAAGTGTAGTGTAGTATTTGTTTTAATATAGTGTTGATCAAATTTTGTCATATGGTTTAGTAAGAAATTTATTCCGGGGTATCTTAGATTTCCATTATCGACTCAAATATAATTTTAGTAAAACACGTTAGAAAGGAGAAAATTATATCAAAATTAAAAGAACAAAGAATGCAATGTTGATTCTCTCCGAATGCTCAAATAACAAGTCGATATTCTACTTTTCTTTGATTCTCAATATATTATATTGTATAGCAAGTTTTAGAACTAGAGACTACCTAAATCTTTGTTTATTTATCATATGACCTTTGAATGACAAGTTTATTAAATTAGATTTTATTTCTCAAAATTCGAATTGCTTTCTAAAAATTTGCAATAATGCATGTTTTCATGAGGGTCACGCAGATATCTAACGAAGTTTTAAACAGTCTCTATGATCAACTCAATAAGATTACGAAACATCTTACTTCGACTCTTCTAAAAAATGCTAAATACAATCAGAAAAATAATAGATAAGAATTCATATAGTTGGCCTTAAAAATGCATAGGATGCTTGTGAATCGTGGTTATGCATTTATAGGTGTGTGCTAATCTTCAATCCAACATTATATTTGTTTAGCAATGAAGAGATCGCACCAATTATTTCGATGCATTCAATTCAACATACTCACTAACCCAATTGAAAGCAACATAGCACGTTGAAATGTACCCACTCCAAATTATATTTTTCCAAATCGAATTTATAAATGCCCAATTGCCTCAAGCCATGTATTTCTTTATTAATTTTATTTCTGTTTCATTGGGCTGCGATACATATGATCCAAGCCCAGAATTGTTTGTATATTCAGTGGGCCTAGGTTGTCCAAATCATGTGGGCCTAAGTGATCCATTAATTATTCCATTTCCTTAAAAAAAAAAAAAAAAAAAAAAAAAAAAAAAGACATGGCTATGAACATGGTAATGTGTTTATAATAAGGACAAGAGAATAATAAACAAATTCATACTTTTTATGTAAAAGTAGGGCTGAGCAAATCTCCCGAACCGAATCGAACCGAATTCGAAGATTCTTGTCAAATTAAATACCCGAACGGATATCTGAATTGATAATCGAGGGGTACGGTTCGGTTCTAGACCAAGAACCGAAGAACCAAATAAGAACCGAATATTTCTAATTTTTATTTTTTTTCTATTGAATAAATCAAATTATTTTAATTTTAATTTTTTCTAAACAAATTAACAATTTCTAAATCCAAATTTTTGGCCCAATAATTTGTTTCATTTCTAATTTTTTTTTTTTGCCCAATTACCCTTTTTATTGTCTCATTTTTTAGCCCAACAAGATCCAACCCACTATATAACTCTAAACACCTACACTAAAGTGCATAACGCTATCTCGACTCTTGCAGTCTCGCTGACATTCCAAAACCTATACAATCATCGATCGACGCTGTGACCTCCGATCGAAGCTGTAACCTCCGCCAACCGAAATTTTGACCATAGCGATCATTTGAACAAGGTAGTCTACGAGTCTCTGACATTTCAAAACCATTGAATGTATCATTAGTTGTATTTATATAATTTTGTTATAAATGTTAAAAAATTTAATTATAGTATAGAACCGAACGGAACTGAACCCGAACGGTTCCATAATTATATTTGGACCCGACGATTCTATTTACTAAATACTCGAAAATTGAACCGAACCGAACCGAACCGACCCGCGCTCAGGCCTAAGTAAAAGTAAACATAAGACTCCATAAAAGCCTCTAGAATCAACTATCTACCAGAGACAGAAATATGTCTAGATAAAGAAAGTACCTCATTGCAACTTCAAAAAATTTCAACAATATTGCAATGAATCTCAAGCTTTTGATTAGGTCTAGTCATCCGATCTAGTTCTCAATTGCGAATTTCTAATTTTCAATGATATGTTCATATTTCTTTATTTTATGATTATCAGCAATGGAAAAGTCGTTGCCCGTAGCTGAACTTGGGTGAGAATGGGGTTATGGGACGTGACTTATTTTCACGGCTCTCTTTTTTGCACTTTATTAATTGTGAAGATAATGGTGGTTGGTGGCGGCTATGTATTGGACAGTGCTAGTTGTGGCGTAGGTTGAAGAGACATTTTTTGTTAATATCTTTTCTTTTCTTTTTTGATTTTTTTTTTTGCGCATTTTAAGTTATGGAAAATGATTCCTTTTTACATCACTTCAACATAAAATTTTGGATGAAAATCGTCCATAGGAATGAATCTTGTGAATAAATAAAAAGGTTGGGAATGATAAGTCGAATAAAAATTGAATGACACAAAATTGTTACGAAAGAGAGGTTGGGAAACCTAAAATTTATTATGTTGTTTCCTTGAAATCAAACACAAAATCTAGAAATTTTAAATTTAGCAAGTTAATATCATATTAAAAAATATAGAAAAGACTTAATTCGACTCTTTCAACAATGCAAAAACAAAAATCCTAATTGCCATATCATAATTAATATATTTTGTTCAATGAACAAAACAAATCAAGTAAAATTATTTTATTATGAATTATTATTTTGCATCCATTTTATGTTGGACTCATCTTGCAATTTAAAAAATTGTCAATAATGCATGCATGATTTTCTTACTTCCTGTTGCATATGTATTTTTTTATTTTTGTCATGAAAGATCTTGACAAGAAAAGACCTATATAGATATTGTTTAAAAGTATATTTGTGTACAAATGAAAAATGAATAAAATTACAAAAATAATGTAGCAAAAGATTCGAATTAAACGTTGATTCCTGGACGGATAAATAAAAGATTAAAAAAAAAATTAGATGAAAAATAAATATTAATTAAACTTTTGAAGAATAAAAAAATAACTACGACAAAGTAGTATGTATAATGTCATGTAGTATAACATAAAGGTGAATTAAGGTTGTGATTTGTTGTATTCAGTTATGTGTAATCTTATCTGTATAATTATTCATAATGGCATACTCATCAATTTTCAGCAAAATTTATTTTTTGTTACCCCACTCTAAAATGTACCTCTTGTTTGGTAAAAATTAAATTTCAGAATTTAATCTAAGTCAAAATTAATAATTAATTTTAACTATACATTTCATAGGGTCCATTTTTCAGCCACACATTTCATCAATTTTTATGATAATCAACTAAATATTTGATTTTAATTTCCACCAAAACAGAGAAATAAATTGTGAAGTGTATTTACAAGAAAGAAAGTAAATGAAATGTCAATACACCTAGGGCGGAGCCCCATACTCATTGCAGGCACTTCCCTGCACTGAACTTTGGGCCGAAGTCCATTCCATTTATTATTATTATTATTTTTTTAATTTTTTTTTTTTGAGAGCCCCATATATAGAATATAATGGTGGGATGGACCATATTTGTCAACTTCTTGGGTTTTTTTGGTAACTCAAAAGAAATGAATTTTTGGGGTTTTTCGATGATTTTCTGTTACGATTTCATGCATCTAAAGGGTATTTTTGAAAGTCTGGGATCTTGATGCTTTTTGTATTGAATGATTAATTGTGGAATAAAAAAAGAATTTTTTATTTTATTTTATTGATTTTGGGAAATTAATTATGGATCATGTGATTGGCGAAAAGTTTAAGCTAGGGAGAAAAATTGGCTGTGGATCTTTTGGAGAGTTTAGTTGCATAATTTGATTCATTTTTTATGTCTCTGAATTTTAACTTTGCCACTATCTATTCATAGGCAGCTTCCTCTTCTTTCTTACTATTGTAAAATATAATACTGTGCCCTTCTCGATCAATCATCTATGCATGAATAAATTCAAGGTCACTTGTCATTATTGTTGAATTGGTATGCTAAAGATAAGTGTAATATGCTTTTGTAATATAATTAATCGAAGTTTTATCTTCCCAACTTTGATAAGATGCTTCTATAAATTGACAGAATTTCTATGTGACAATGAGATATTCAAATTTTTTGAAAGACAAAAATGGAATACATCCTAACATAGAAAGTCATTATCCTTTTCTTGAATGAGATTCATTTTTTAAGTTTGATAATGATTTTATTGTACAACGATATCAAAGCATAAAAACTCACGAAGAACAAGTGTAACTTATAAATCATGTCATTTTTAGTATTTTTTGTAATATTGTTTTATATTTTTATCATCATTAAATTCATGACCAAAAAATTAAAATTCGACATTGATTAAATTGTGGCTAAAACCTCGTACTGCGCAAATTTTCTGGCTCCAGCCTTGAATACACCATATATCGAGGGTGCATTTTTTAGATTTTCGTATATAGACTATGATAAAACAAGAACGAAAGTCACAATAAAAAGGGGAAAGCTCACCGTGCAGCACAAAATAATTCCTTATGACTATATATCTAAACAATTATAAAGGCGACCAAGCAAAAGGCTTAAAATAAGCAACAAGAAAAAAACACAACAATGTTATGTTCAACAATTTACCAATAAACTGGCTTAGTTTGAGCTAACTCTTAAGCAACCACAAAGCTTGACCTAATTTTCATATTGGGAGAGCTCTTGATCAGTTGGAGGGACATGGGGGGCAGGGTATGCCCCCACAACATTTTTAATTTTACTATATTAATATAAAAAAATTCTTATTATCCGTACCTAATTTAATCCAAGAATTGCTTGAAAATTTAGCCAACAAAATTTCATTCAGTTGCATACCTCTATGAAACATGACTAATATTTTGTTTTTTCTAACTTCTGCAAATTGCACCAAAAATTCTTACTATAAATTGATCACATTTTTAGACAAACTAGCCATATTCAGACGGTACTTAGATATATTTCTGTCTGAAAAAATAATGTTTCCTATAGTTTTGGCCTTGACCTTAATTTTCAGCTCTCAAATAGAAGCTGAGCTTCAAGTAAATTTCTATAGAAATACATGTCCTAATGCAGAATTAATCATAAGGCAGGAGGTCCAAAGAGCCTACTTTAGAGACAGAGGAATAGCCCCTGGCCTTGTTAGAATGCATTTCCATGATTGCTTTGTTAGGGTAATGTAAATAGCATATCGTTTTTCTCGTCTATTACATAAGGTGAAATGTACTGTTCAATACTGTGTACCAAAAACCTTGAATTTATTTGACTGGTTCTTGCAGGGGTGTGATGGCTCGGTTCTTATAAAATCAACTCCTGGAAATTCTGCAGAAGAAGATGGCCCCTCGAATGCTGGTTCTCTTCGTGGGTTTGAGGTGATCGAAAGTGCTAAGGCTAGACTTGAACAAGAATGCAGAGGAGTTGTTTCATGTGCAGATATTCTTGCATATGCTGCAAGAGACTCCATAGTAGTAGTTAGTACTCTAAACTCGACACAAAACTGCACCTCTAAAATCCCTTATCAATTGGCACGAAATAGTGAAATTTTTTTACTGAGAATATGAGTTTGTTGGTAGCTTTTAAAAGAATTGTTCTTGGCATGCAGTCTGGAGGACTCGGGTGGGATGTTCCAGCAGGAAGAAGAGACGGGCAAATTTCACTGGCTACAGAAACTATCGATATACCAGCACCATTCAACAACCTAGACCAAAACCTTCAGGCTTTTGCCAAGAAAGGTTTGTCATCGGACAACATGGTTGCACTCCTAGGTAAGAGAACTTCGTACTAGACTAAATCAAAAGACATTACAAGATCTTCGAATTTACAAGCCCGATATATTCCTGAATACAGGTGCACACACAATTGGTTGCTCTCACTGCTCACAATTCAGCAACAGATTATATAATTTCAGCCCGGCAAACAGTCAAGATTCAACGTTGGATCCTCTATATGCTATGCAACTGAAGCAGCAATGTCCAAGAGGGCCTAATGGAAACGTTGATCCTAATGCAGTTGTTTTCATGAACTTCAGCCCGACAGCATTTGAAAACAGCTACTATGTCGATGTTTTAAGAAACCGAGGATTATTTACCTCGGACCAGACACTGACTACAAGTCCAGACACACTATCAGAAGTCAGAGATTATGCTAGGAATAACATACAATGGCAAACAGATTTTGCTGATGCTATGATTAAGATGAGTCAAGTTGAGGTGCTTACAGGGAATGCCGGAGAGATTAGGCTCAACTGCAGGGCCATCAACCCATAAAGCTCGATTCTACTTGCACATATTCTTCTTAAAATAAACGCCTGTAATGTGGTGTCCTCTTCTTTGTTTAACTGAGAGTGGTTCCTCTCACAAAAGTCAAAACGGACTTGGAGTTCTTTATCTCAGTCTAGACAGTTCTACTAGGAATTGGAAGCCAAAAAGTATGTTCTCAATTAAAGAGCTATCAATCTGTGCAACCAAGTTCCCCCAAACAATAAGCAATTTTCTCCAGACCTGTCCTTTTTGGATTGGAAACTGTCTGAAATCACTTTTCAAAAATCTCAAAAACCATAGATACATACAAGGAAAAACCCGCTGCCACAATAGTGAGATGGGACAAATTGCAATCTTAAGGGGTAACGCAGAAAAGATTCGAGCTAATTTAGAGCAATCAACAGTTGGGATAGACAATCTTCTATTAAGAAGGCGAAAAGAGAGACGAATCCAGAAAAGTAGGTCATGGTCAAACCTTACGAGTTCAGAAAATTGAATGGACTAAAAACAAGAAAAATAAAATCAGGCAATACGTGTTCTCAGACATAAATTTTCAACAACACAAAACGGCAAATTCCATTTCTCAATAAGGTTTGGTGAAAGACCATAATGAAGCAAAATTCTACGATCAATTACAAAAAATATCCCAAGAGGTGGGCTAAAAAGGTAGGCTAATAATCCTATTTAGGTAGTCAACTCCATGATGGCACTGACTATGTCTCCATTGTGTGCCTTGAGAGCCTTGACAGCCTTGCCCTTGGACACCCCTGCTTGTGTCATGACCAAATCAATGTCCCTAGGCTCGACACCAGTTTCATCAACCTCCTCTTCTTCCTCATCCACCTGTTCTGCCGTAGCTGAGGCCGATGCATCAGGTTTAGCCATTACAGAACCCATATCAGGCATCTTGAATTGCTGAGCGGCCTGTGTCTGAAGCTGAGAGCTCAAATCCTCAATCTTAGCTTCTCCGAAAATGACATAGGTATCGGAATTTGGGCTCTTGAAAACATCAGGCTTTGAGATGAAAAATAATACCTGCAATATCATGAATTGATTATAAGGTTTAGCAACAGAAAACAGAAAGATCAAAGATGCATCCGAGTGCAAAATGCGTAGAAGATTACATTTTTTGTTCTCTTAATGGTAACACGACTAACACCCAGAACAGGTTTCATTCCGAGTTTCAACATGGCCTTGCGGCTCTTCTTCTCGCTTCTGCTCTGCTTAGAACTTTCACTCGCTCCTGTATTCACTTTTGCATCATATTAGTTGTAAAGGAGGCATAGCAAATGCATTGGTGATACAAGTAATAAAGTATCAATTTGATTACAATTACGCATACAAAAAAGAAGAGAGATTCATGCAAGAGTAATGAATAGCCAGGCAAGATAAACAAGCACACACCTCAATCAATGAAACCCCCCACATGAGGCCCACTTCGAGGCCTAAGCCTATGCCCAAACAAATTGAAATTGTGCAACGTAAAACTACAATTTCAGGTTCTAAATACACTAACCATCTCACCTAAAAGATTAATCCAGTCTAAACAAATAAAAGTTCAATATTCATTAATATCTCTTCATCATCTCAATCATTCTTCTAGCTTCCAAGCTATCATATACAAAGCAGTCTTAATGCCAGTTAAAAACCCACAAAATATAACCTGGGATGAGTGCCTACCCCTTAATCAAACCCATATCCCCAATAAAAAAAGCCTGAAGGGGATAAATTATCGTTAAATGAACATAATTACGAAAAGAATTAGGTTTTCAAGAAAAGGGACCTGGGCTACCATCTTCCTTGTCATCGTCTTCCTCATCGGAATCTTCAGCATCATCTTCATGGTCCTCATCCTCTTTCACGTCCTCTATCACTGGCTCATCCTTCAGTTCATCAACAATCATCAGCGAATTTAGTCTCGCACAGACACACACAAACAGACATTTTGCATATATGGGTACTATAAACCAAAAAAGCGGATATTGATCTAATATTAAAAAGGCACCTGAAACTTTTCTTCGGCTTTTATTTCTTCCACGACAGGACCCGGCATTTTCAGTTCGATTTTGAGGGTTTTCAGTAGGGAGTGCAGAGGATAAGAGTAATTTTGTTTAGCCAATGAGGAAGAGATAACGGGTTTTTATTTTAGGGCTCCGTTTATCCCATGTTTTTGGGGCTGGCCTTTCACTCTCATTTTGAACTTTGGGCCACTTATCAAAAAGCTTTTAGCCCATATCCAAAACATTTAACCCTCAACTGCCGCTTGCTTCATTCACAAAAATTTCATGGTCAATAAGCTATTCCCCCACGTAAACCAAATAACTATAACAATCTTGCTATACGTACATTTATTTTGACATTATGGATGATATTCTTATGAGTTGACAGTTATTTATACATTGATTTTAAACAATCAATGACACAAATTTTAACAACTCACACATTGTCAACAACAATGTCATCTAAGAATGTATATCTAGATTAATTATAACTATAATAGGTGTGTATAAAAAGCAATATCACCTGCTCGTGTGGGGTTTGCGAGAGGCCCGATAGAGTACACTACTACTACTATGCCCTGCCTATCCATTTTTCATTTTTCAGAAGTTGGTAACAATTTTTTGAGCAAAATGAGGATATGCACCTAAACTTTTTGTGTGGCTCGACTATTGGTTTTTAATTTATAAAAATGAGGTTATGAGTTCTCGATCTACTTAATTATGTGAATTTGAGTACCTACATGATTGAAACAATCCATATGATTATTAAAATCGCATTTGAGTTATAGTTGAATTAAAAAGAAATAATAAATAGCCCGACCTTTTTTTCCATCTAGCTTAAAGGCACATGAAACTGGTGTTTAACTTTATCATCCACATTGACAGATTTATTCATTTGGAGACCCAAAATCATAAATTTAAATAGGTTTATGATCGAGAACTCTCTTTTGGAGATTAGAGAGCCATAACCATACAATATGAAGGTTGAACATGGCCCCGGCTCCCCAACCAACGCACACACGCATCCGGACCAAGCCCTAATGCAGGGGCCCCTAGTCGGCCCACGTAGGCCTAAATTTCTTTGCAAAGAAAACTCTTGAAAAAATGAGAAATTTGGACCATTATATAAATTCTTGATATTTACCCTTTTGTACATAAAGAACTAAATT